TTAAGAACTCGAGTCGAGCTTGAGTCGAGTCCATTCGATCCGAGTATTTATCGAGCCTTGATCGAGTCGATCTCGAGTAGCTCGCAAAGGTAAGTTCGGATGCAAAGAAGGTTCTAAATTCCGCAAAGGTAAGTTCGGATGCAAGTACCGAGGATGCAAAAGAAGATGCGACTGGCCCAACCTTTAGTTTCTCAGGGATCATTCGAGCTTTAGAAAACAGTGATCAGGAAGATGTCAAATCTGTTATCTCTGATTCATGTGTATCAGTTGGAAAATACCATGTGAAAGCAAGTCTCCTCGACTCTACAGTTAATTCTCGATAAGCATGGAGACAGCAGCTAACTGTCGATTGGAATCGGCTTCCATGCGTGCATATTATTTAGAGTGCTTGTGTGCTGTAATTCAAGACTTGCAGTTCACTTCATTCAAGCAACTGACCAAAGCAAAAATTAAAGAAATATTTGCTGTTCTCAAGGATGTTGAATCTGCAAATATTGATGTTAGTTGGCTGCGCGTTCCGCTCAATGAAATCTCGGAAGCCTTTGATCTTGTTAGTCAACTACAAACTTTTGAAGCCAAAAAGGTGAAGTATGAAAGTTCGTTAGAATCGGTAAAGAAAGAACTGGAATCTCGAATGGAAAATCTAGCTGAGAAAGAAAAGGAGGCTGCCGGTGCTCAGGAACTGGTTGCCAAAACCAAGGCTCAGTTGGATGACATGGAGAATGAATATTCTCAGCTGGACAAGGCTCATTCATCTATAGCATCAATCACCTAGAAGTTCAGGGGCAAATCTCTGACAAGTGAGTTCTTGTGATGGCGATCACGAAGCAAGACGGTACGTTAGTATTCGAATATCAGATGTTACATTATTTCTTATATCATCTGATACTTGGCTTTCAGGAATAAAGTGTAGTGGTTGATCTTAGCCCCAATACCTGGTTCATAAATATGGGTTACGCTTTGCTTAACCTCAATCCTTATGCACATTTGCATTGTTTTGAAAACCGGACCGGACCGGATCGCTGTCTAGTCCGGTTCAATCTACACCGGTTAAACTACTATTAGTGAACCGACCGGAACCGTTAAACCGTTTAAACCGGACCGGCTAAAAACCGGGAAAAACCGGAAAAACCGCCAATTTTGTTTTTTTTTTTTTTTTAAATTAAACCAAACAACACCGTTTGTTAAACGAGCCAAGTCGAACTCGAGTATTACTGAGCTCGACTCAAACTTGAAAACTTTAAAAGTAAGCTCAACTCGACTCAAACTCACGAGCTAAAAATTATCAAGTTCAACTCGAATTCGAAATATAATATTGAAACTTGAACTCGAAAAGGCTTGAACTAAAAAAAATTTAGAAGTTAGATTGAAGCCTAAAATTCTAGCTTAATTAAAGTGAAAAAATAGTTCACTCAATGCTCACCAAAAGGCTCCATGATTTTGAATGCCAAATTACATCTATTATTTATAGAAGTTAGTTTGGATGCTCTTCTATGTTTCTTAGTCATGTAGTAATGTTTTGTTCTCATATTTTCTCTTTAGACTTTTGGGATGCTCTTCTATGTTTCTTAGCCATGTGTGATTGTTTTTAAAAAAAATTAAACCAAACAATATTATTTTGTTATGATTTTTTTAGCCCCAAATTTATTTTTTAATTATAGTTATATAATTATATTTATTATTTAATATGTTTTACCTTAATTATTATGTTGTAGTTAATTTGAATCATTTTGTTTCACTTAATTTTATGGTTTTTAACTTATATATGACTTGCTTTGAATATGACTTGTGATATAAAAAATTATTTTTTATTAAATATTTTTGGTATTTTTGTTTAATTTTTTAAATAATTATGACGTCGTCCGGTTCTTTCGACCGATCGGACCGGTTCGACCGATTGAACTAGTGAACCGATAACATGATCGATTCGCTAACCGGTCCGATTTTGAAAACCATGCACATTTGATTATATATATGATTTGTATTTTGAGATAAAAGCAGAGTTGAATAGACCAGTTGACTTCTTTACTCCTTGACCTGGTTTTAATTCATCTTGTTGAAGGAGATGGCTGGTAATGGAGTTTAGAGTTGAGGAGTTTGGAATTTTTCATAATTTTAGATTAATTTGGGGTTTATTGACAATACACATATAATTTTATTTTTTTTAAAATAAAAAATACAAATGTTACACGTTATTTTTTTTAATGCTTTTTATGGTGTAAACACATAAAAAAAATAACCTTGAAAATGTTAGACATTTATTTTAAATTATTATTTTTTGAACAATTTCTAATTGGGAAGGAAAAGGAGAATTTTGTTACTAGCGGATATTGAATCTATTAAGTTAAAGAAAAAGAGATGCGTAATTGAATAGTTTCAATTTTTTTTCTATAAATTATTGACAAATAAAAATATTCTAAATATCTAAAATGAATAAAAAGTACATTAAACATTAATTATCTCATTAAGTTTAAAAAGAATGATAATGTATGTAAAACCCCATTTTCCACCAAATATGCTGTTTGTGTATAGGTTTGTAAATGAACTGAACGTTCAGCGAATCGTGTGGTGGGAAGTTCGTTTATGTGCGTTTATTTATTAAATGAACGAACATGAACAAGATTTTGTATTTGTTTAATTAAATGAACGAACATGAACATATGTCTCGTTCGTTCATTTACGTTCGTGAACGTTCGGTTATGTTCGTTTATGTTTGTTCGGTTATGTTCGTTTATGTTCATTCATTTATGTTTAACTCAATCTTCTTAAATCAATTTTGGTGATCAATTTGTAAGTATCTTAAAAATATTAATTAATCTGATATTATGATGACCAACTCCATAATTAACCCAATTTTATTTAGAGATTAAATCCAATATGTTAACCCGTGAGGCATCTCGCACCTATATTCATTTCCCTTTTTTTTCCCAAACCCTAGTGTTCACTAGAGAGTGGAGACGATCGCTGAAAGTTTCAAAACAAGTTATATTATAGTGCAATCTAAAGTTTTACATGTATGTTTTCGTCTCTTACTCTGTTTTATTTGGCTTAATAGTTGATATGTAAAGTTATTGCGGGTATCTTCACATCTAAAACTCAAGAAAACATCATACTTCTTTCCATAAATAGATGGGAAGATAAAGGTAACAATCAGAAGTATATGAGCATCAGTAAAGAGAAAAATATATAGAATTTGTCAGAAAACAAAACAAATGTTTATATGTAATTTCTGAAAAAGAGTGTAATAGCGGAAGTAATGGGTTTTCCAGGAAGAACCCATTAATAAGTAGAAAATACACTTTGACAATGAACTTTTGTTTTCATAGTTCTTGTGTAACCTTTAGTTGTGAAGTAGACTTTAGGTACGTTAAAATTTTGAATGGTGGTTTAGCAATAATATCAGTTACGATATGTAGCATCGAAGAGATTTCGGATCTATGTTATTGTCTTGTAGTCCAATTTGTACCATTCAAAATCTTCATGAGGTTAAATTTTCTACTTTGCCAACGGAAAAGATCATTATTAACAAACTTCACTAAAGTCTGACATTGATGTCACAAAATTTTTAGCCGGCGAATTTTTTAGAATAACGTAGTGGAAAATTATTGTTCATATATAATCATGGACCACTAAGATAAATGTTATATCGTTAAATTAAAGTCGTGTGAATCATTTAATATATTTAAAAAATCGATCGAAATATTTGATATCTTCAAGCATTTCATCACTGCTAATCAGCTCTTACGCTATTTATCACTGTAGATTTGGTTGATTTGCATTGTCGACTATTTTTCATGAAAGAACAATGGAAGGTAGGGTCTCCAACGTTTATGTTCGTGTTCATTTATGTTCGTGTTTGTTTATGTTCGTGTTCGTTTATGTTCGTTTATTTATTAAATGAACGAATATGAACAAGTTATATTCCTTAATAAACGAACATAAACAAAAAAAAATTTGTTCATTTATGTTCGTGTTCGTTTATGGTCATTTATTTATTAAATGAACGAACATGAATATACATCCGTTCGTGTACGTTCGGTTCATTTACATACCTATTTGTGTACGTAAACTTTTCTTTTTTGGTGGTTGGTGACAAAAGTCTATTGAACATTAACTTAATAAAATATTTAAAAGATATTTTATAAATAATTATATAAAACATTAAAGTTACTTTTTCTTCTTCTTAACTTTATTATATACTATTTTTAAAGACATCCTTGCTAATCGAAATAAATTGATAATTTTTTTTCTTAACTCAACTATTGTATGTTTCAATTTCGCCTTTTTCTGTTAATTAGCGTCTATTTGAGTTGAACATTAATCTGTTGAATAAGATATAATAAAATCTGATATCAAAATCATTTAAGTTGTATTTTAAGGATCGACTCTCCATTTACATTGTACTATAGAGCCAATGCTTGAAAGATTATACAGTCGAATCTGTGCTTAAAAGCAACGGCGGTGCCAGTAGACATTACTAAATATATTTTATCATATCTCAATCAACAAATTAACGTCAAACTCAAACAATCGTCAATTTTTAAACGAGAAATGATGAGTTTGGAACATATGAATAGTCATGTGACCATTTTGTAACTTTTAATAGTCGATGACTCAACAAATTAACGTACCATAATAGAATGATCATTTTGTCACTTTTAATAGTCGGAGAAATTAATAAAATATAATTTTATAGTCGGTGAATTAATAAAACACTACCCTATAGTTTGGATTGTTTATGTTGCAGAGGACAAAATATATGCTTCCAAACCCAAAAGGACTTACCTTTTTGGTTTAATATGCTACCGGCTGTCAGAGGATCTTGTAATTGGCTACTGGGATTTGTCTTCTAATCTCCATTTTTGATTTCTCCAATGCTTCTAGTTTGTCCAAACCCCAGCATTGTGAAAACCATAAGCTTTGAATACCTAGTTTCTCACATTTGTCAAACTACAATCAAACCCCATATCTCAATTTTGCTCTTTCTTCTATACAAAAAGATGGGGCTGTTTTTTACTTGTGATCAGTTTTTGATGCTGATGGCTTTGATCACTGTCTGCACTTTATCAGGCATCAAGCAAGCAATTCTCATTCTTTGTTTCTTAGAATTTTCATTGAGAAAAGATGTAACTAACAATTAACATTTACTGGTTTTGCAGATTGTTATGATCCTTTGGATCCCAATGGGAACATTACAGTTACTTTTGACATTAATCAATGGATACCAGAAGGCTATCTGGTCAGTATGCCACTGACAATCACTTGAGGATTTCATTTCAATCGTTTACTGTCTGATTCTTCAGGGTTACATTGGTTTCTAGGCAAGGGTAACACTTCAAAATTACTATCAATATCGCCATGTTGATAAACCTGGTTGGACATTGGGTTGGACATGGGCTAATGAGGAGATAATCTTGTCTATGTCCGGTGCTTTCGCGACCAAACAAGGGAACTGTTCGTCTTTCAAGTCCCAAACCACGCCGCATTCTTGCGAGAAAAGCCCCGCCGTTGCTGATCTTATGCCGGATGCCTTAGCAGAAACCAGGACAGATGATTGTTGTCATGGTGGTCTTCTTTCTGCTTGGGCTATCAAACCTTCTGAGTCATTTTCATCATTCGAAATGACTATCGGAAACTTGGGGACGAATCCGAAAGTGCAAGCACCGATCAATCTTACTTTAATGGCTCCTGGTCCTGGTTATACTTGTAGCTCAATTGAAGAAGCTGATCCCACAGCTTATTCTGATAATGGGGGTAAAAGACAACTCCAAGCATATAGTAAGTACCCAATTTGACTCCATTACTATCCATTGCATTCACTAAATACTCCATTACGAATCAAGTTTTATTGTGTTTGTCAGGAACATGGAAATCAACATGCACTTATTCCAGCTTTGTTGCCAATCAAGCACCTGTATGCTGTGTTTCACTCTCAACGTTTTACAATCCCAAGATCACATTTTGCCCTGATTGCAGCTGTGGATGCAGAGAAGCAGATAAAAACACAGTTTCATGCATAAGGTGGGTTAAAATTGTCTTCATTTGTTATCCAAAACCATAGTTTCCTAGCTTTAATGTCACTCATCTTTTAGAGAAGGTTATGATGATCCGGGATCGGATTCATTTGATAATCAAGATATAGTGCAATGCACCGATCATATGTGCCCGGTTCGAATTCACTGGCATGTTATGAAGAACTACTTTACACACTGGAAAGTAAAGCTGACCATCTCAAACTACAATTACAAAAGAAACTACACAAACTGGAATGTGCTAATTCAGCATCCTGGATTCAGTCAGAGTACAACAGCCTATAGCTTTAACAGTACAATGCTTCCCTCTTTTGGACTCTCAGGTACTTGTTTTGTAACCAAATATTTTGATTCAGATTCCAATATTTCTTGTAATGATCAGGGTTCATATGGGACGAACTGTTGCAGATGAGGTTGCTCTATTTTGGGGAATTGAGTACTATAATGAGGAGCTAAGCAGTGCTGATAAAGATGAACCTGGTGCAGTATCCACACAGATTTTACTGAGGAAGGATTTGGATTCCTTTACACTTGGGAATGGATGGGCGTTACCTCGAAGAGTGTATTTCAATGGTGAAAACTGTCAAATGCCTCTTCCAGACACTTTCCCCATGCTACCAAATGACTGCTCCAGCTTGAAACCTACCAACCCAGTTTTTCTTCTTTTCATCTATCTGACTTTCAAGACATTTGATATCTGGCTTTCATAAACAAAAGGGTTTAATGTCAAACCCCCAACGTTTATGTGAAGGATCATTTTAGTCCGTTTTATTTAACCCTCAATGTTTTAATTTTTAGTTAAAATAATCATTATTTAATGGAAATCGTTAGTTGACTAAAGATCAACGTATGTTGTTGATGTGACATTCACATTTGTGCTTAACTGTTGACGTGTACATGTCAAGTCATTATCTTGGTTGACATTCCACAAGCTACATCATCACTTTAGGTGACGTGAAGCATACCACATCATATTAGGTAACAACACATGTGAAATATCACGTCAGCAATACGTGTTGACGGTTAGCTAACTAACAATTTTTATTCAACATGGATCATTTTAATAAAAAAATAAAATGTTAAAATACTCTAAAAAAAAGAATAAGATCAAAATGAACATTCAAACAAATGTTGAAGACTAATTTTAGCATTATGTCAAATAAAAAGCTCTCTGAAAAACTTTTGAGCCACCTTGATGCATTCAAGTACAAGGCTATAATTCATGGTAAGGTACGAGGGTTTTTTTAAGTATATTTACAAAGACGAACCCTGTATAGAAAAAGATGAAACTTTTATACCAACCCTTACACGCCACTTGATGTGAGCATACGTGGAATAATGATATTTGACATTGAACACTCACACTTTTGATATTTATAGTGTTTGAACTCGGGACACTAAAAAATAATAATAATTTTTTTTACCACCAAGATCGTTTGGTTCAAGACTTGATGTAAGCAAATGTGGGATGACGACCAAAATCTGTGTACCAACATTGTAGGTAGTAGAATATCATGGCATGTGATGCAGATTTGTTTTTCTTGATGGGCAAAACTCCACCAAGAATAGGATTTTGCAATTTACAGTAAAATGCAGATTTAAACCTCAAACCAAACCCCCAACCGACGCTTGTTATAATTAAGTGCACAAAGTTCTTGCTTCTCAACGACCCTTTGTCTGTATAATAACGGCACCTTTCACATTTTCGCTACTTGGAATCAATAATCCACAGCTCCCTTTGAGCTTATTCTTAAAAAAAATGGGATGGCAGCAGCATTGACAATATATATACACAGTAGCATACCAGAAAAGAACAACCTCCCCAGGCAGAAAACGCTTCAATTGAAAGCAAAAGGGAATGAAAAACATGGGGAGTGAAGAAGAAACACAACAAGGATTCTCGAAGATGGTGAACCCTGGAAAAGCCACAATTCTGGCTCTCGGCAAGGCTTTCCCTCACCAGCTTGTCATGCAAGAGTTTCTGGTTGATGGCTATTTTAAGAACACCAACTGCGATGACCCTGATCTCAGGAAGAAGCTAACCCGACTCTGTAATACCATGGAACTTCCATCTCTACAACTTTTTATTCTTTTCTTTTTTTGGTCTTAACTGAAAACAAAAGTTATTAACACATTTTCTTGCATTTTGGCACTTGACAGGCAAGACAACTACTGTTAAGACAAGGTACGTGGTGATGTCGGAAGAAATCCTGAAGGAGTACCCTGAGCTTGCCATTGAAGGACTCCCCACTGTGAAACAGCGATTGGACATCTGTAACGATGCGGTCACGGAGATGGCCGTTGAAGCCTCTCGAGTTTGTATCGAAAAATGGGGTAGGCCGATATCGGAATTAACTCACTTGGTGTATGTATCCTCGAGTGAAGTTCGGCTGCCTGGTGGTGACCTTTACTTGGCGAAAGGACTAGGACTCAGCCCTGAGATTCAACGCGTAATGCTCTACTTCATGGGCTGCTCTGGGGGTGCTGCTGGCCTTCGTGTAGCAAAAGACATTGCTGAAAACAATCCTGGAAGCCGGATCTTGTTAGCTACTTCTGAAACTACGATTATTGGTTTCAAACCACCGAGTGCGGATAGACCGTATGACCTGGTCGGTGCAGCACTTTTTGGCGATGGTGCTGGAGCTATGATCATTGGCTCTGATCCAGATTTGAGCATTGAGACACCCCTCTTCGAGCTTCACACTGCAATCCAGAATTTCTTGCCCGATACCGAGAAGACGATTGATGGGAAACTTACGGAAGAGGGGATTAGTTTCAAGCTTTCAAGGGAGCTTCCTCAGATAATTGAAGACAACGTTGAAAGTTTCTGTGAGAAACTGATGGGAACTGTTGGATTGACTGACAAGGACTATAACAAGATGTTCTGGGCTGTTCATCCAGGGGGACCTGCAATCTTGAACAGAATCGAAAAACGACTAGATTTGTGCCCACAGAAACTAACTGCAAGTAGAAGAGCTTTGATGGATTATGGAAATGCTAGCAGTAACACCATTGTGTACGTGCTGGAATACATGATAGAAGAGAGCTTGAAGAAGGAAGAGAACCAAGAAGAGAGTGAATGGGGCTTGATTTTAGCTTTTGGACCAGGAGTCACCTTAGAGGGTATTGTTGCAAGAAACCTGACAGTATAAGAATAATGTCGTCATATATTTCAAGAAAGTTGCATCTTTTACCATAAAATCAAGTGTCTCACATGCAATGGGAGACCATAATCAATTCATGTTTCACAAGGAATCTATGTGAAAAGTTTAAACTTCCCTCTAAATCTACATGATCATATTTCTTTCCTTATATTCTGTGAGTTGAATTTCTTAACACAGGAATATTGTATGCCTATATAAGAGCCAAAGCACATCATCACATGTAGGAATAGTACATAATAATTAACTTCATATAAGCAGAAGATTAGTATTCGACACCGAAAATTAATCCAACTATGCAATGTTTTTATAAATAAATATCCACCCAAATCTTCTGCACCCCCAAATTTACAAACAATCCGCTAATTTCCAGTCATACGAAATGTGTCCTGAGAAAAAAGCACAACTTAAACAAGGATACAAGTTAGAACTTTCTTCCAGCAGTGAGCTCGTCAACCAAAGCAAAACAGCATCTTCACTTATACTACACCAGACGGAAGACGGAGAACAAGCTGCCCTCCAAAGACACCGCAAAACGTAAAGGGTTATATACAAAGTTATCAAAGGCTCAACGCCCATCGAGGATCAAAAGTGTCCTGGGCCTTGAGGCGCGAGGCGTATAAAAGACGCGGAATTCACGAAGGCGAGAAGCATAATATCTAAAAAATTATAAAACATCGTTCAATTTTCTTTATATACGTACGATTTTAGTTTAATTATCATGTGTTAATTTAAAATTGAAGAATATATTTTATAATAGAAAATTGTTAATAGTTATTACTTTTAAAAATAAAAACAAAAGAAAAATAAAGATAAGAGTCCCCAGTTGCCTTTATTCAATTCAATCCCCAACATTTATTTATATATATAAAGATATAATTAACAACAACAGACAAACAATTCCCCATATCCATTTTATCCCCTTCTTTCATATCTGCGTTGGATTCCCTTTCTCTCTGTGTTTTTTTTTCCTTTTTGGTTTGCTGTTTTGGGTGCCGAAAGGTTAAAGATTCAATCATGTCGATCGTGTTGGACAGGATCGAAACATCGGGGTTTGGGCGCGTAATGAGGTGTGCCTGCGATATTTCTAGTTTCGAATCCCCGCCGTCTACGGTGAAGGAAAGAAAGCGGTTGTCGAAGGCGGAGGAAGAAGAAGAGGACTGGGGAGGTTCATCGTCCACGACGACGTTGTCTTTGATCGGGAGGAATAGCGATGACGACGACGACGAGTCTGGGAGATCCTCGGACGGTGGAGATTTCGAGGAAAACGAGGTTCAAAGCTCTATAGGATGAATTCCATCGAACAGGTTCTGCCCATGAGGTAAACAAAACAAATACTTCTTTTTTTTATCAACTTTGATCGATTAACAGGCTGATATCCGACATCGCGCCTCGACTGAGCCTCGCGCCTCAGAGCCTCACTGCGCCTAGGTGCGCCTAGGCTACGTGTCTCGCTTCAATGTTAAAAAAGTCCCGTTCAGTGAGCCTCTGCGTTTGTGCGCCTCAGGCGCGCCTTTTACAACTATGGTTATATAAGCAAACATTAATGGCGTTGGGTCGATTATGGCATTTAGTTATACTTGTATACCACACATTATAATGTGAATGTAACTAACCTCTTGATATAATAGTAACAGAAGTCTGCTAAAATGAAAGTTTGGACAATTTCCAATATAAGAACCATGGAAGGAAACAAACCGTAACCCAGGGCTACCAGCAAATGTCCTCGACTGTCTAAAACCTGTTGAAAGCAGTAGGAATGAATTTAATATCTTAATGTGATTTTGCCCTCGTAAAAATTCACAACTCTTCTCCAACCAGCATCATACAAAAGTTTCCCCTCCATACAAAAGTTTCTCCAACCAGCATCACACATTGATCATTCACATCATTCCGAATACTAGCATTACTTAATAACGACAAAAGCGCAATCCACTGCTCGAATTCCCAGTCCAATAAATTCCTTCGCAACTGAATATCCCAGCACCATCCCCTGTATTAAAAAAATCAAACTCGGAGATTTTTCCTTCTTTATTAACGGGAAGAGAAAACAGCCTAGGAAACTTCACCTAAGAGGGACATTGCAAATAGAGCCAATACTGCACATGGGACAAGCTGCATTCAAATTCAAATGTCAGGATATGACTCCAGAACATGTTCAGAAAAAGAATCCACTTGAGCAACAAAGAAGATAATTCTGCAGTTAGTATGTGCCCATGCATTGCAACACAAAGAAAATAATAATTTTCTTCAATTGGTTACATGATTGTATCCATAAATCAAAACACTAAGGATGAGGTACATGGTGACTTTTGTGGTGGAATTAGAAAAAAAACAGCAATAAGAAAAATTGAAGACCAATAAAAATTCAATACACTTAGAAGACTAGCAATGATTTAAAGAGCAGCATGTGGGGGGGGTAGATTTCTTATTTAAGAAACAGGCTGAAAAGGAAGAAATTATATTTTTCTAATTTGCAGATCTGCAAGCCAATGGAAAACACCGACACGTAATGTAACATCCCAAAAGCCGGGTCAGTGACTAAAATGTAAATTTTAGAAACTTTGTGCTTAATTTTGAAATAAGTTAAAAGTTTTGGGATTTAAGTAAAGAATTTTGATGATGAATTAAATAGCATAGATGGATAATTAAATGGGCAATTTAGTCTTTTCAGCTTAAAGGATATTTTGTGTTTCCTTTAAATAAGAGTTATACACGTGGGTTTTGGGAGATTTCTGGAAGCCTTCTTCTTACTCTCTTCTTCTTCTCGTAGCTCCAGCTTAAAGGTAAGTTTGATTTTTAACTGTTAATTTCTTGAATTTATAAGTTGGTTTTGAATCTTTGGGGGTTATATAAGCTTAAGGAAAGCTTATATAAACTTAAAATATCAAGAAGAGAGAATTAGAAAGGAATTTCTATTAAGAGATTAAAAATGAACTTTTGATATAGAAAGGTTTTTGAAATTCTAAGGATGAATTTGACTTGTCCTCAACTTAATTAGGAGATATGAAGTGATGGAATTGAATTTATAACAAGTAGAAAATTTAGTATGATTCTTGAATTCCATATGGAAGATAGGATTTTGAGACTTAAGAAGGGATAAATGAGTACAAATGGGCTTAAGTATGTGTGTTTGAGTTTAGTATATAAAAGGGGTTGAAGAATGAAGTATTGAGCTGAAAATGAAGTGATTTTCGAGCTTAAAATATGATTTCTGGGCTAGGGGAATCGGTACCCATTCAAGGGGAACCGATACCCCCTCAAACGAACAAGAATTTCCAGAATGTCATAAGGGAATCGATACCCCCACAGTAGGGAACCGATTCCCCCCTAAAGGAAAGTTGTGAATATTGGTTTAATAAGTTCGTGTAAGTTGTTAGTATCAAATTTCAAGGTTTAGGTATCTAATAATTATCTTAAAATGTATAATTATGTAGATTCAGAGCCTAATCAAGTTCCGGAATCATTGACAAGTAAGATCGATCAAGGGGAAAGATAAGAGATTGGAATTGACTAGTGAGGCCAGGTGAGTGCATACTAGTGACATGTATTGTTAAATGGGAAATAGGACTTGCGATGAGTCTATTTCCTAGAATAATATGCATGAAGTCATGAACATGATTATGAGTTTGTTATGATTATATGTGCTATATGTGATTATATGTATTATATTAATTGTATGTATGCATGACTAAAGATATTGATATGCTTTGTATATGCTATAGGATTTGTGTAAAACACTAAAATGTAATAATGAAATGAACATGTGAGCATAAGATAACCAAGTATAAGTCCTATTATATGGTGTAAGTGATTACACGAGAAATGTTAGGAGACTCTATGAGGATAGTATAAATTCGAGGGCATAAACAAGGATACATAAGTTATATAGGGAAAATTTATATATTTAAATGAAACTATGGTTTATGAATTATAAAGTGAAGAACTACCAAGTTTTATGAAAGAGTATTGTAGAAGTCATGGGAAATTGAACTAAATAAATAGATTAAACTAGTATATAGATGAATTATGTGAGTGAAAGGGAAAATGAAATAAGATAAGTAGAAATTATTTATAGGATAGAATAAGATTATTTGAACATGTAGTATAAACTTTATAAATGATGACTTAGGTAAAATCATTATATGATATAAATATAGGGCATTACTATGCAAATTACATTAAAGAGTATATATATATAAGTATATGGGTCAGTTTATAGGTTATTGATTGGACATATAGGATGATATAACTATATGATAATATGAAAAAGTAAACTAAGTTTAATGATGTTGGACCCTATGAGTAGAAGTTATGTGATTAAAGAGACATGTTTACACGATTAAAAGATATGATGCATGACATTAGATATATGAAAGAGAAAGTATATGTGATATGAGAAAGTGAACCAAGTAAATGATATTGAATCAGGTGAATATAAGAGATTAAAACATAAATTATACGAAAAGATATAAGTCATAGGATATGACATGTTTATAGGAACACATGAGAAGTGTTATAAGCCATGTGATATATGAATACGAGATCATATGAGAATTTACAAGAATTACGTGATTACATGTATATGTGAATGAAGCTACGAGCTTATATGAATATGTGATATGTTTTCATGAATATAAAAAACGATATAAAAGATAATGCCTATGATATGCGTCATGAGAGCTAGGGGTATAGTTGGCATGCCAAGAGTCGAGGGTTTACGCGGTCCTTCGGGACATATATGTATCCTTTGGAACATCTATGAGGTCTTTTGAGACACATACTTGGTTCTTGGAATATGTATATGGTTCTAAAGGAATTTTCTACGTGGTCCTTAGGGACATCTTATATGGCACTTCGGTGCATTTCTACGCGGCACTTAGGTGCAATTCTACGTGGCACTTCGGTGCATTTATACGAGCTGTGGTGACAGCATTAGTGCACAACCTCTATAGACTCACATATCTATAGTTCTCACATGTGTACATGGGCTAATAAAGAAGATGATATAAAAGAACCTTGTATGATATTATGTGCTTTGTTTGTAATCTTTATGGTGTGAAATGATATATGTGATATGATGATGATGTGTATATAACTTGGTTAAAAAGAATAGGTACAAGAACATATGACTAAAAGATAAAGAACGAAAATAAGACTATTAAAGAGATAATGATAAATTTATTACATACGTTTTATATGCGTTTATGTTTGGATGCATTTTATAGTTTATCATGATTACATGAAATGTGCATAATAGGAATTAGTTATGATATGATATAGCCAGTTTATTTATGCTTCACTAAGTCATCGACTTAGCGTGTGAGTGTTTCACACGTAAGTTCCGGAAAGCTAGAAGAAAAGTTCAGAGGAGCAAGACAGGTCAGCATTTTTCCTTACGAAGTTCAGATCAGGAAAGTAAAGATAATATGTATTTCGTTCTTACGGATATAGTTGGCATACTAATTGATTGAGTTAAATATGCTCTGATCGATTTTGGTTATTGTGGTCAATTAATGTAAATAAACCGCTTTTACTTTAATGAAAGTTTTAAATTTTCTTTAAATTTTTTCAAGAGTCAAAGTTTGAAAAGTCAATGTGACACCTCAGACTCGTATCCGGGTCGGGTACGGGTTGGGGGTGTTACACGTAATGGAGAATAAAATTAGAAAAGCTGCCTCTGTAAACAATGCTAGCTGTTTCAAGTTACATACGCCTCCGTTGATAGAGAGGACAAGCACAAGGTCGCAAACATGACCATCTCTTGACTACTAAAAGATGAAATACAGGAGACAAAACTGGTACAATTCACTTCTAGATCCAACAATTGAACAATACGTAGGACAGGGCTGCATATATAATTACATATAATTGCAAGTAAAGAAAAAGTTAATATGACGAAGAAAACTCACAACATAATATAAAGCAAAGTTGTCCTTCTCTTCCATGTAGCTGGACTTTAATTTGAAACGGATCATATAAATAACCCATAAAGTTGTAGCCAATGTGGCCAAATCAAGTAGGGTATGGATATCATATTCCATGACAAAGCTACAATACAGCCTAACAGCTAAAAAGATGGCTGTTAGTTCCTGGGATTTAAGCGATAGTCCTGCAACCATTCATTTTTTTTTATTGAATGAACCAATAAAAACTTTCTTCACATATTTAACCAATAGCCTAGAGTTAATTAATTCATTCATTTATGCAGTGTAAGTAGGTGACCAAGATTAATAGGCCCGCAACATTTTAACATCAAACAATTATCATCCAGGCTAGGATTGTCACATGTGCGTGAGAGGCACCAAAAACAGCTATTTATCAATCATTCTTGCAATACAAACACTTAGGGGAAACCCTAGAAAAAGCGAAGGCTACTCGTGCAGAAGAATTAGCATAATACAGAAATAGAAACAGTGAAACTCATGGAATTCCTCAAACGAGCATAACTAACAAAGAAGGGCTTGGTCATAGGAATTACCATAGGATAAAAACATACCAATCATATAAAAATCATGAAACTTGTGAGACAACCAAAAAGTCTTTCATTTTGCAACAAGAAGAAACCTTCATTTTGATACCTTAGATAAAACACAGTTCAATTTCAAAACCCTCAATAAAACAAAAAAAATCCATCAAACCCTGCCACGAGCAGAATGTCATATGAACTCTCAACTTCGCCAATAGCATTATAACTCTTCCACTCCTTGATAATGATGGTTGGAATAATTTGGAAAAAGCAGTAAACTTTATGCATCAGGAATAACAATCAAAGTCACCAAACAAAGAAATCTTATATCGAAATAAATGGAAAACCAAGCCAGAAACTCACCCAGACGCAGCTAAAAAGCAAAAAATCTACCATCACTCGGCACAAAGTTGCCAAACCTAAACCTGTAAAATTTTGCATATTGATTACCATTCATGAGTTCTTTGAATTGCTAAATTTGGGGGGGAAATCACTCATGTATTAAATTTAAGCTACAAATAAAAAAAATTCAAACAACAAAATCTAGAATTTCTACATTAAGAAACAAAAAAAAACTAAAGCTTTATTCGAAATTACCAGCACAAGTCTTCTCCCTTGTGAGCTTATACATAAGGACAGAGATTCCGATGGAGTGGACAGCCTCAGCGGCGACGAAGAGGTTGTCATGGTCGTGTACAATGAATAGAAGAAGAACAAGCGCTGCCATCCCCGATACGACCGCCAAAAAAGCCTTCACCTTCGGCGGCTGTCGTTTCACCCACATCGACACCGCGTGGATCGGCCTATGATGTGCCCTCATGTTTATTCTCTTCTTCCTCTTTTTTTCTTCCCCGGAGAGAGTGGGGGGAAATTTTTGAATTTGGAGAAAGTGGATTTTCTGGATTGCTAATGCAAGTCTTCTGGGGGTTGACGTCAGAGTTGTGTTTTCTTTCTACTGATCAAAATCTTAATTTTACAAATAATAAATTAAATAAGATATTAGTTGGTTGTCCCTTGTTCCCATATGTAATGGAGTAAGGAGAGTTAAGATAGTAAATTGTCCCTAACACTAGATTAAGAACAACTTCCGTAAAGATCTTCAAATAAAATATTATTTTATTAATTTCTATGAGGTTTGGAAGAAATAATTGAGGAAGATGAAATTGAAATCCTTGAAGGCGATGTATCCCGCTCACTGGTGGATGGGATTATCTCGATCAATTTTTCTGACTGAATCCAGACTCTCGCTGTTAAAAGTTTAGATCTGACAGTTGTTGTGAAATTGCTGGGCAGACGTATTGGTTATAATACTCTTCGTGGTAAGCTGTATGACCTGTGGAAGCCGTCTCAACCATTCCGTCTCATGAACATTGAGAACGATTATTTCCTGGTTACCTTCAGAACTCCATCAGATTTTTTGAATGCCATCTCGGCCGATCCTTGGACCATCTTTGGAAACTACCTCACCGTTGAACCTTGGTCGCCGGAATTTTCCACAACACAGCTCTTCCCACGAAAAATAATAGCTTGGATCCGCCTTCCGGGATTACCTGTCACCCTCTACAAGCGAAACATAATCAAGGAGATTGGGGAATACATTGGCCATGTTGTTCGTATCGACTATCAAACAGATAGTGGAAGGCGTGGTAGATTTGCACGAATGGCTGTCTCGATTGATCTGCACAAACCTTTGATTTCCAAACTCCTCGTCAATGGAAATATTCAGCTTGTGAAGTATGAGTCGCTCCCCAATATCTACTTTTCATGTGGTAAGTTTGGCCACCTTCAAGAAAATTGTTCGGACTTGGCACCACGGGTTGCAGAAACCGCCCTTCAATGGTTGAAAATTCTCCCCCAATAATAGCTGCTCTTTACGGCCCCTGGATGGTCGTTGACAAAAGGCAATGACGAACAGCTAAGAAGCCTTCTGATTCCTCTACATCGGACACTACCATTCATGTTGTTGCTTCTCGTTTTAATCCCATCTTTGAGGAAGGTACTGATGATCCCTCTAATGTGCCTAATAATAACAGTGCAGTCAATACTTCAAATCTCCCCGCTATCCAGCGTCCTAAACCGGTTGGCAAAGGTAAAGCTCCAGCGTCCCAAGCATCCAAAACCTTCCAGACTTAAAATGGTTGTTCTTACACGTAAACCCCTAGTAGTTGTCACGAACAGCTCCATACTTAGACCAGCTTCCACTGCTACCAGCTCTCGCCACATATCTCAAACTTCTGCTCCTCCTCAGAAACTTGATACAGGCCATCATTCGGTTGTCATGATTTCTGAGAATGATGACCCCAATTTTGTAGGTGATACAATTCAATGGCCGCCCTGCAATGCTCCTCCTCGTGATCTCCCACCAAGTGAACCTCCTGACCTTTCCCATAATGGGGGAACTTTGGCTCATGCTACTCAAAACGATTTGTGCCTCTCCTTCTGATCTCTAAGGCTATTTTGCCTCCCTTTCTTTCTTTACTATTTTAATGATTTTAAAACTTCTCAGTTGGAATATAAAGGGACGTGGACATCCGAAATTCCTGCCAGCCATTAGACAATATTTGAGTAACTCTAAACCGGATGTTGTTAGCCTGGTTGAGCCCCGTATTAGCGGATTTAAAGATAACGTTGTCATTGCTTCTCTTAGCTTCCCCAATTCTCATAAAATTGAAGCTCCAGGTTTCTCTGGCGGTATTTGGTTATGTTGGTATAATTTGTTTAGTGTGGATATTCTGGTGAATTACTTTCAGTTTATACATTTTCGGCTTCGCTCTCATCTTAATGGTAGCTACAATTTGGGTACTCGTGTATGCTACCCCCAACGCTTCTAAAAGGAAATCTCTTTGGCCTCACCTCCGCCACATTGCTTTGACTATCACTTCTCCTTGGTTAATTTTTGGTGATTTTAATGTCACCCTCTCTCATGAAGACAGGATTTGTGCCGCTTCCACCAAGCCTAACACCGCCTTCAGGGAACTCCTTTTTGACTTTGGCCTCCAGGACATGGGTTTTCAAGGACCGCTCTTCACGTGGTCTAGAGGTCCTACCCATGCTCGTCTCAATCGTTTTATTTGTAATTCTCACTGGGATGAGGCTTTCTCGGATTCCAATGTCGAGCATCTCCTCATAACGAGATCTGATCACCGCCCCTTGTCCTCCATATAGGTGCTCATTACTGCAACCATCCTTCTCCACCTTTTCGATATATCTCCAGTTGGCGCATGCATGATGATTTTAAACGCATGGTCCTTGATAATTGGATTCCTTCCGAGACCCTTTCGGACACCATTAAGCATTTCTCTATAGTTGCAGCTGATTGGAACAAATCTGTGTATGTCTCTATTGGTACTAATAAACGTATTACTATGGCTCGTCTGAGAGGTGTTCAAAGAGCCTTGAGATCTCGACCGAACCAATTCCTTCATGATCTTGAGGATAAATTGCTGCTTGAACTCGAAGCTCTCCTTTATCAAGAGGAGCTTCAGTGGAGGCAGAAATCCTGTTCTGACTGGATTCAATTTAGAGATCGCAACACCACTTATTTTCATCGAAAAACGACCCTACGCAAACAATGTAATCAGATCACTGCTTTAACCATAAGTGATGGTACCTGGTGCCATGATGACACCGTCCTAAAGCAAGAAAGTGTTAAATTCTTCAAGAACTTGTTCTCTCTTGACTCTTTGGCGCAAGGTATTTACTCTATTGTGGGTCAGTTTCCAGCCCTTACTGATTTCTTGATGTCCGGCTTGGATTCTACTCCCTCCAACGAAGAAATTCATGCGGCTGGCCTCTTTGAAAGCCCCTGGCATCGATGGCTTGCATGCTGAATTCTATCAAAAAAATTGGGATGTGGTTGGGGATTCTATTTGTCGCACTATCCAAGATGTCTTTAATGGTGGTGCTTTAGAGCCGGATTTATACCGAACTGATCGCCCTCATCCCTAAGGTCTCTGTCCCTCAAACTTTCACAAAATTTCGCACGACCAGTCTGTGCTCTGTGATTTACAAGATTCTCACTAAGGTGGTAGTTAGAAGGCTCCAACATCTCATGCCTCAGCTCATCGCCTCCAATCAAACAAGCTTCATTTCGAGGAGGAATATTACAGACAACATTATTATTAACCAGGAAGCCATCCACTTGATGCGATCCATCAAGTCAAAACAAGGATGGACGGCAATCAAAGTTGATCTAGAAAAAGCTTTCGATTAGATTCGTTGAGATTTTATTCATGACACTCTTATTGATGCATGCCTTTCCCCTGGTATCATCGGTGTCATTATGAGGTGCATCACTATTAGTTCTTTTTAGGTTCAATGAAATGACAGTTATTCCGAGCCTTTCTGCCCGGAAAGAGGAATCTGACAAAGGGACCCTCTCCTGCCTTACTTATTCGTCCTTGCTATGGAGAGACCTGGTCACAGCATTGCAAATGCGGTTAACTCTGGAAATTGGTTGCCTTTCCGCTTCTCCAAACACGGTACACCGCTTTTTCATCTTTTCTTTACCGATGATCTCATTTTGTATGCTCGTGCTGAATTTTTTAATGCTGCAACTATTGATTCTGTTCTTTTGGATTTTGGTTTGCATTCGGGACACCGAGTAAGTCAACAAAACACTCAAATTCCCCCCCCCCCAACACCCCATCTATCTTGCGAGATCAAATCAGTAGCTTTTTGAGGTTCAAACTTATGGACAACCTTGGAAAGTACCTAGGCCTTCTGGTCATCCACCAAAGGGTCCAATGTTCTGACTTTGAGTTCATCTTGGAGAAAATGCGGTCTCGCCTCTCAGGTTGGGCTGCTCAAACGTTATTACTTGCTGGTCGCATCACTCTTGCAAAATCCATTCTTGAAGCCATTTCGGTCTATTTCATGCAAACTGCCTTGTTGCCTAAGAATGTCTGTCTTGATATTGAGAAAATTATCAGGAGTTTTATTTGGGGCTCTTCTCCTTCAGCACCTAAAATCTCTCTCGTCAATTGGGAGAATGTTTGTCAACCCATCGAGCATGGAGGCCTTGGGATTTGTCGTACTTTTCAGTATAACAAGGCTTTTCTTATGAAGATCGGTGTGCCTTTGATCACCAAACGAATTCTCTTTGGATCCAATTACTTCGGCATGAATATAAAATAAGAGTGTTGAAAAGTGGTGCCACCGAAATTGGTGGCACCAAAGTGAATTGAAAACAAAAAAAAAACAATTCCACCGAATGGTGGAGTCAACAATTGGTTGTAATTGTTGAATTTTTGTGATGGTAAAATTACACATTAATCATTGTAATTTAAGGTATTTACAAATTAGTCCTTAAGCTTCAACTATAAATACCCTAACTCATTTAGCTTCAAAACCATCCAAAATCATTCTAGTTTTCTCTTAATACTAGAGAATTTAAAGAGTTTTCTTGAGAGTTGTTTTCTCTTTTTTATCAAGAGATAATTGTCATTGTTTTCTCCTTGGTAGATCGAGAGAAGTTATAATTCCTATTTTCTCATAGTAAAATTCTTCTACCGTTGTCCGTGGTTTTTACCCTATATTATTTAAGGATTTTTCACGTAAATTTTGTGTCTTCTTTATCTTTATTTTTATTTTCTCAAATTATCAATTATGATTTTGCTCTATCCGATAGCCGTATTCCGCAACGCGCACTCTTTCTAAAATCTCGGATGATATACGCTCCAATATGGCCTGGACTATTGGTAATGGCTCGACTGTCTCGGTTTGGGATGATACATAGATACCCGCTGTTGGCCCTCTTCGGGACCATGCTTTTGATAATCTATCTCCTTCCATTTATCCGCATTTTCAAGACCTTATGACTGATACTGGATCTTGGAACTTACCCTTGCTTTATTCTTTGCTTCCTGGAAATATTGTTTCTTGCATTGTTAGTATTCGCTGCCCTGTTGCAGGTGGCATCGTCGACTCTTGCATTTGG